GGCCTCGCCGCAGTGGTAGCAGAGCGGGCGGTTGTCAGGTGCACGCCAAACGTCCGTTTTCCTCGGTGCACTGCGCTGGCCCGCTGGGGAACGGTAGGACGTCGGTTGGGGTGGTGGCGGCGGTGGCGTCTGGCGACGGAAGTGTGACGGGGCGGCGTTTTGGCGTGGACGGGGAGGAGCGTTGTGGCGCACTGCAGCGGCGTAGCTCATAGTTTCTGGCTCGGGCGGCGGTGTTTCGGGAATGCGAAGCGATTGTCGGACTTCTTCTCGCACAATGTCGGCGATCGAATCCACTTGAGGCTGCGCCGAAGGCAACAGTTTGCGCAGCTCTTCCCGCACGATCGCTCGGATCGTTTCACGCAGGTCGTCGGAGTCACTGGCTTGAGCAGCAGTGCATTCTGGAGTCAGGCGACGATTATACTGTCTGGTGCGCATGTCCAGCGTTTTTTTCGATGGTGGTCGCCTCGGATACAAATTCTTGGACGGTGTTCGGTGGATTCCTCATTAGTCCCGCGAAGAGCTCCTGTTTGACCCCTCGCATGAGGAAACGAACTTTCTTTTCCTCAGGCATGTCTGGGTTAGCGTGACGGAATAGGCGGGTCATCTCCTCTGTGAAAATTCCAACCTTTTCATTGGTAGCTGAACCCGGGTCTCGAGTAGAGCAGCGGCCCTCTCTTTGCGAGCGACGCTTGCGAACGTTTGCAGAAATGCGCCGCAGAAGACATCCCACGTTCGGAGCGTGGACTCCCGATTCTCTAGCCAGGTCCTTGCGGTGTCTTCCAGGTAGAAGTACACACGACGGAGCTTTTCTTCGTTGTCCCAGTGGTTGAGGGCGGCCACACGGTCGTATGTTTCTAGCCAGGTTTCCGGGTCTTCAAACGATGAGCCATGGAACTATTGGTGGTTCCCTGGGTTGATGAATGACGATCGCGGGCTGGGACGCTCCGGTTGTCATTGTCGCTGCAGTCGAGGTCATGGTCTTGGTCTTCCGCGCCTTGTCTTGTAGAAGGCCGTACTCCGGTGGGAGACCTTGCTGTCGGCGGCTCGTTCGCTGCTCTTGGTTGGCGTCGGTGTCTTCTCCGCGACGGGGGCTGGGTTCACGGCATGACGGGCGCGTCCGGAACATGAACGAAGCAGCACCTCCACCAGATGTCACGGGGTCGTGACGTGGCCAAAGACAGGAAACTTCGTGTTGGGATTTAACTGTTTATTTGGGCGAACTTGTGCCCAGTAAAGGGAAAGTCTAATTACAGCAGCAGTCTTGCACAGATAGCAGTCTCGAACTGATAGCGGCGAGCGCAGCGTCGGCCTTCGATCAACAACTGACAAGCGGCGAAGCGCGTCGGCATTTATACCCTTGCCGTCGAATGTTCTAGCGTTATCGCTGGCGGTGGCGTAGGTTCCAGAACAATCTGTACCGTTCGCACAGTGGGCGTGATCTTATCAAAATGATCTACTACAGTCCGGAACCTTCTCGAAACCTGCAGGCGCGGTTTGCGCCGAGAATCGTGTGGTGTTTCGGAACGATAACAAAAACTTGTGAAATGGAACGTGGCAATATCACTGTTGTAGCACCGAAAGGCGGGCGAGTTGGAACTTATCCATAGTGGGCAGCGCACAAAAGGAAACACACAAGAGAAGGAATCAGGACCAGCGCTTGTCCTGATTCCTTCTCTTGTGTGTTTCCTTTTGTGCGCTGCCCACTATGGATGTGGCAATATCAATCACGAATCTACAGCATTATGACAGACCTTGCATGCTTGGACACTAGATTGAGCGATGCAGATTTCACCTTCTTGTTGTTGTTCATGTCGTCGTATGCGCAACGACATGAACAACACTTGCCACATTTTCTCGCCCACTTGCCACATTTTAACCAGTTTCTGCAATCATTTGCCATGTGGGTCTGCTTTTGGCCGCGAAAGCATCACCCGCTTTGATGAGCATCTTCTTCTTGATCGAGAAGTTGATATTATTCGTATCACAGACTATGGCAGAATGCTTTTCATACCGACAGAACAGGCACTGTTGTGGACTTTTTGCTGAGCATTGTAGTGCAGTTGGCATAGAAACGTCACGTGGATGACTGGGTTTTAGTCCTCCTTTATCTGGGGCGCAATGAGTTTTCGTTACGTCTTGTACAACATCAGCTTCCCGACAAGAGAGTTGAAGGTCGAAGAATTCTAAATGCATTTGAAGAATCTTTTGAAATTGTTGCACGGTTTGAAATGCCTTGCGTATTCGAAGGGTATGCAGCTGATGATGATGATGCCTTGTGCATCTCGTGGAAACGCAGTACCGTTTCCGTCGGAAGAACTAACATGATTTCATAAAGCATGGAGCAATAAGTAGTCGAGTTCGTGTGAAGCGTCTTGAGGCTTCGGATATAAATCTGTACCTTGTCGCAAAACTGCCTCAGCTGACGGACGTCTGCTGAAGACGACACCGTCTTTAAATCCAGTAAACCTTGCAAGTGGTCATGCACAACGATCTGTTCATCTCCGAAACGCTTCTTTAAAGTTTCAATAGCGTCTTTATAGAACTCTTGGGCAGCTTGTAGTGCTGATGTGACCAACGTGACCGCTTGGGTAGCCGAACTACCTAAGTAGTTGAGCTTGTCAGCTGTGTTTAACTCGCTGTCGTTGTGTACTGCTGATGCAAACTGCGTCTAAAATTCCGTTCATAATCTGTGGTTGCAATCAAATTATACGAATTCTTTTCGGGCAAGCTTGTTTTTGCCAGAAGAGTACGGGTGGTGGCTCCTGAGGTGTGCGGCTGAAGGCCCTAGACATTCATTTAGCTTCATTCGTAAATTCGCTGTGAGAGTAACATCTTTGTCGCGGTATACTCCAGCGTCTAACGTCTCGCTGTCTAACAGGTCATCTTGTGTTTCTCCCAAAATGGCCTCATCCAATTTCAGTATCGGACCAAGTAATGAGCTTATTCAGTCGAGGAATACGCTTATCGCCGCTGTCATGGCAGCTTGATTTCCTCGCAAGTGAACTTCCAACTTAGAAAACAGGACACCCAGTTGGGACCACGGACTGTGGCTTCGTCTGAGATACTGTTCCGTTCTGCCATCCGCAGTCGAAATATCTCGCTAAGATCACCGGCGCCGCCTTCTGAGGTGTTGCGGCTCCTAACGTAGATATTTGTGTCGTTAAAGACCCCGGGTTTTCGGCACCATGTGTTGGACCCCTGAGCCTTATTACTGTGGTGCGGCTAACATCGAGCAAAGGACACGTCTTGCGAGATTAAATCTTTATTGGAACTGAAGAAGAAAGAAAAATGAAAGGGTGAGTTGTGGTGCCACGAGGCCACGTGTGGTGCTCGAGACCAGGCACAATAATGATGCTGACTGCCCTTTTGCGGCGAGGGATGAAGAAATTGAAGCCACAACCGCTCATAATATGTCCTAAGAACTGGAGTTTCTTGAAACCGAAATGATATTTCTCAGGATTCAACGTCAGGCCGGTGGATCATATTGCAGGAAATACTAAGAGCACTGGCCCCAAATGTTTCTCGAATGTTGCTGAGAAGATAACGACGTCATCTGCGTATACTAGACACGTCTGCCACTTAACGCTTGATCGTACGGTATCCATCAGTCTTTTAAATGTTGCTGAGGCTGAGCATAATCCGAAGAGAAGACTTTAAACTCGTAAAACACGTCAGCCATTACAAAAGCAGTATTTTATTTCTTTCGCTCATCAACCTCAATTTGCCAATATCCACTTGTTAGGTCCGTCGATGAGAAGAAGCGACCATATACCTCAGCCTCTTAGGTAAATCATGGATATGCGGTAATGCGTATACGTCTTTTTTTTGTCTCGCGGTGCAGCTGGCGGTATTCCGCACTGAAGCGTTAGCTGCCATCTTTCTTCTTAACCAGCACTATCGATGATGCCCAAAGGCGTTTTGACGGTTGAATGACGTCATCGTCAAGCACTTTCTGGGCAACTTCTGAGATTGCTTCGCATTCTTTTGGTGCCAAGCAGCATGGCTTTTGTCGAATTAGTCTTGCCACATCTTCCGTTACAATTCGTTGTTTTGACAGTGGCGTTTGATGTACCTTCGATGTCGATGGGAAAGAATCTTCAAACTGGCGAAGAACCTCTAGAAAATTCCGCCTCTGCGCTACCAATAAATCTGGGCTTACGTCAACAGGTGGTGGTGCCGAAGCGGCTGGCGTGTCTGGCTTGCTCATACACTACACTGAAGAGACTTCTGGCAATAGCAATTACTCGAAAGAATAAAAGCGTAGATACTTGTTCTGTGACACCTTCTCCAGTATGCTGCGTGTTACACGTGACAGAGACGAGGTGGCATGATAACGGTACTATGGTCTCGTCGTCAATGACGCGCATGGGCTTGCACTGCAGCGCTTTGCTATGGTCCGCTGAGAAGTTCAGTACCCCGTCTGGCATATTTATGATGACACCGTACTTCCGCTAAAAAACTCATACACAAGATTTCCTGTTTACAACACAAAGAAAGAATAACGAAAGTGGTGACGAATGATGAGTCACAGATCCTGATTCTTGTGGTGCACTTACCTGTAGTTGTCAGTAGCTAGCCTCCAGCTCTTCTAATTTGCGGTGCCACCCATTCTATTTTCACCTTCTTGAGCTTGTCGGCCAGATTCGCACTCATTCCTACAAAATCCGCACAAGTGTCTGTTGCATCCGCCGGAAGAGAAAAGACCAAGGCCTTACAGAACACCTTTATTTACGGTACTGCATGCTTGCAGCACCAAGCAACGATTCCCACAGCAACAGAACAAGAACCAGAATCTATACGCCCACCAGCCACTCGCGCATGTACGATACCATGGTGACGTCACTAACACTGTTCATCGGCGATGACTTTCACGCGCCGTAATACAGATAACAACACAACACTTCCTTCATCACTAGATCAAAAACGGTCGTAACACCAACGCTCAGGAGGCCGCCTTTCCCGGTTGCTCCGTCTCAGAGGAATTGCATTGTTATTATCTGTTAACCCCGGGTCTGGCGGCCTTCCTTCAGCCTGAGGGTCCGATTGCACCACAGGCAGTGGAGGAGAGGCGACCTCGGAGGCGTGTGGCAGGCATATTTCATGACCTGGGGTTCGGTCGCCGAGCACAGAATGTCATAAATGATCAGCATGTACAAAAGGCACTTGGTTTCCAAAACAACCAAATACGTAGTTGGAGACTTCACTCACGTAACTTTTCCCGGCAGCCATTTCACCGATTCTCCTCGCACGGAATGAACCAACACACGGTAAACAACCCCAAAATATCGCGGCTTTGCTCTGCGCTTATCGGCTGACTGTTTCATCCCTTCTACTTTCTCGGTCATGGCCTTTGTCAGATGCGGCCGCACCAAAGACAACCTGGTACGCAACTGTCTTCTCAAAAACAGTTCAGCCGGTGTCTTTCCAGTGAAGGTATGCGGCGTTGTGCTATAGCACAACAGAAAGTTATCTATTCTGTGCTGAAGTGTTCTTGCACTGCCTTTTTCTTTGTCCTCCAACAACTGTTTAAACAGGGCCGTCTTAGTTGTTTGTACCGCCCGCTCCACCGCCAAGTTGGCCTGCGGGTGGTACGGGGGTGTGAACGTGTGCTTTACACCTTGCGCTTTTAGAAGGCTTTGGAATATATCAGCCCAAAATTGCGGCCCGTTATCTGATATTACTTCTAAAGGAAGTCCGTGCGCGGCAAACAAAGACCGAACCACTGTCACTGTCATAGTAGCAGTCGTCGTGCTACATACTTTAACTTCTAGCCACTTGCTGTAAGCATCAACTGCTAATAGGAACATTTTACCTTCCTTCTGGGCGAAATCAAGATGCACCCTTTCCCATGGGTGTTCGCACAATTTCCGCGGGCTCAAAGGCGCTAGCTGTGCTGCTGTTTGTATGCTTTGACAAACGCTGCATTTTCGCACGGTTTCTTCTAATGCATCATCAATTCCTGGCCACCAAACCATTGACCTTGCAATCATTTTCATGTTTGTGATTCCGATGTGTTGTTCGTGCAGCAGATTCATGACGACACTCTGCAAACAATTTGGAATAACTACCCTATTCGTCCAAACAACGCAACCAGCATCAACAGAGAGTTCGGACCGTCGCACCCAGAATGGTTGCAGTTCTTGAACGACAGCTTTCGGCCAGCCGTGCCAAATCAAGTCGCGCACTACTGATAGTACCTTGTCGCGCGTTGTTTCACGCTCTATATCTTTTTCTGTCAGCGGTAGTTCGTCCATAGTGGCAAAATAAAAAATGTCTTCATTTTGCTCAGAGGTCGGGGGCAATAGCAGTCTAGATAAAGCATCTGCGTTACTGATTGCCGTGCCCGGCTTATGTGCAATCTTATAGCTGTAGTTAGCTAGGAAAACCGCCCATCGGTGTACTCTAGCTGTGGCTACAGCACTAGCTTTCCTTTTCGGGTCGAAGAGCATGGTGAGAGGTTGATGGTTTGTAAGAACCTTAAAAGTTCGACCATACAAGTAGTTATGAAATCGCTTCAGACCAAACACAATGCTCAAAGCTTCTTTCTCTATTTGGCTGTAACTACGCTCCGCATGTGATAGTGATCGCGACGCAAATGCTATTGGCTTCTCTGCGCCGCCCACAACATGCGACAAAACAGCTCTCAAACCGTACTCGGAGGCGTCACAAGTTAGCTGTATTTCTTTGTTGACATCATTAAACTCATGCACATTTTCGTTAGTAAGCATTTCCTTACAGGTTCTAAATGCCTCATCACATTGGCGGGACTATTCCCATGCTGCTTCTCGACGCAACAAGTAATGCAGGGGCTCTAAAACCATAGCCAGATTTGGCAAAAATTTTGAGTAGTAATTTACCAAGCCCAAAAAGGCTTTGAGCTGAGTCACGTTGTCCGGTTTTGGCGCCTGCTTGATGGCAGCTACTTCATCCGCTGTAGGATGCAACCCATTCTGGTCAACTTCATGACCCAGGTATCTGATTCGTTCTTGGAACAGCTTACACTTCTCAGTGTTGACCCGTATGCCAAGTTCTCTTAGGCGTATGAGCACCTGCTCCAACCTGTCATGGCATTGCTTTCTATCTGTGCCTGCGATGACAACGTCATCTAAGTAACAGGCCGTTCCTGAGAGGCCGTGTAGGATCTGATCCATCACGGCCTGGAACACCGCCGGTGCCCAGGCTACGCCATATGGCAAGCGCCGGAACCTGAACAGTTCCAGGTGGGTATTGACAGTGAGCAGTTCTTGTGCTCGCTCGTTCAATTCGAGCTGTAAGTACGCCTTGGACAAGTCCAGAACCAAAAAGACAGTTCCACCATGTAAAGTTGCAAAAATATGCTCTAGCAGAGGGAGCGGGTACTGATCTACCTCAATGGCAGGATTTACTGTGACACAGTAGTCACCACATAGCCGAAGCTCCTTGCCATTTTTCTTGGGCACGATCACCAGAGGTGTCGCCCACGCACTGTGCCGCACCCGGTAAATGACTGCAGCTTTTTCTAAGTTTGCCCATTCCTGCTCGACTTGTTCGCGTAGCGCATACGGCACTGATCGCGCCTTACAGAATACAGGTGAAGCGTTTTCTTTAACAACAATGCTCGCCATGAACCCTCTTATTGCTCCGTAACCCGGCTCAAACACTTCGCGGTATTTGTCAGTATAGGGAGTTTCTTTTGTCAGTGCCTTCACTTGCATAACTTCATGCCATCGGATTTTGATTTTATTCATCCAGTTACGGCCAAACAACGTAGGCATTCTTGCACTTTTCGTCTCTTTGGCAATTACTAGCGGCAAATGAAAGCACTGCTCGTGGTATTGCACTTCAACGTCAATGACGCCTTTGGTATCAACGGGTGTACCGTTCTATGTAACAAGTCTAACATCTGTTTGCCTGAAATTTGCCCCAGGAAAATTCTTCGCGCACTCTGCTTCCGACATTATAGAAACTGCCGCTCCCATGTCTAGTTTCATGAGTACCTCTTTCCCGTTTAGTCTTACATTTATTACAATGGCACGGTTGCCCGAACGGTTATCAGTGTGACAAAGCGTTAGCAGTTCAGTGTCGAACGAGTGCTGCTCTTCTAGCTGATGTACAACCCTGCTTTTACACATTTTCGCGACATGGCCCTTCTTTTGACATTTATAACACCTGCTGTTCAGAAAAGGACAACTTACAGGTGCGTGTTGTCCACCGCATCGCTGACAGGTAGTCTTAGTCCGTGTCACCGAAGTGTTTGTGTTGCCGGAGCCGTGGCCGGTGCATGCCCCACTTTGTGAACTCCGACGCAACGCTGCTGATTGGCTCTGCCAATGTATGTCACTGCAGCTGGCTGACTGTTCGGCGGTGTTTTCCGCGACCATTTCCACGGCGTCTTTCGCTGCCGTCTCCATGGCCGTAGCGGTGTTGCAGACGCGGTCCCAGGTGAGCTCGCTGTCGCTCATGGCCGGCAACCGGCAACGTATGGCTTCGGAATGCAGGCCTGCTATCAGGCGGTCACGAAGCGCTTGTTCCAAAATGGCGCCGAAGTCACATAATGATGCCAATTTCTTCAGCTGCACCACAAATTCGGCGACAGTTTCTTGAGAGGCTTGCTTCCTTTGGTTGAAATGGTATCTTTCACTCACCACTGACCGCCTCGGAGAATAGTGCTTCTTCTGCGCCGACACGACTTCCGGGTATGACGACGTGCTCGGCGTCTTGGGTAGTAGCAGACTTCGGAGCGTCACGTATGCTTCTTCTCCGATGGCGCTCAAGAACAGATGTAGTTTCTTGGCCTTGGCAATCTCATTGACTGTGGTGTAGAGCTCGAATCTTTCGACGAACACGTCGAAACTGCCGCTGCCGGGAGCGAATCCCGGTAGCTTGCTGAGAGCCATTGCCGTCTTCAGTTCTTGTCCAATCCCATCCTCGTCGCCACTTTGTTGCATCCGCCGGAAGAGAAAAGACCAAGACCTTACAGAACACCTTTATTTACGGTACTGCATGCTTGCAGCACCAAGCAACGATTCCCACAGCAACAGAACAAGAACCAGAATCTATACGCCCACCAGCCACTCGCGCATGTACGATACCATGGTGACGTCACTAACACTGTTCATCGGCGATGCCTTTCACGCGCCGTAATACAGATAACAACACAACAGTGTCGAAGAAAGTCGTCACGTCGTAACCGTTCATGGAAAGTGTGATGTCGGCGGTAACACTTTCAGCTTTCGTCGATTCATCTCAAATGTGCTGCTCTTCACGAGATGATAGAGTGGGATTTTCAACATTTAAACAATTCACAATCGCCCACCCCCCTAAAACCGCTGCTTTTAGTTTCCCCAGCGTAGACTGCGATATCTTCCTCTCACTCTGTACGTTGTGTTACTTCTACTACATAGGGAAAAAATACCAGGAATGGGCGAGCGTGACCAGAACTTAGGAAAAACGTCCTTCATGATTGTCTTGCTCGTATCAACGTTACGTCTTCCGTTAAAATAGCGCCAAGGGGTAGTGGACAGAAATCCGTGGTTCCCGGTGACGCGATTAAGGACCATAGCAAACGATGTGACCTGCTTCCCCAGAATGGAAGCAAAAAGGCCGGTAGTTGGAGGCACGCCTGAGGTCAGTGTTGCGGAGTGGTGGTCCCACTGGCGTCAAAGCATCCCTGTAGTACCAAGGCACAGTCGGTGGCTTTGGCTGGTGGTACGGCTGTGTTGGCGGCATGTTAGGTTGCTGTGAACGGCGAATATCGGCATAGATTGGTCTAACCATGTCAGTGCTCGGCTCGGGAAGCGAAAGTGCTAGCCTTTGCTTCTGGCGCACAACTTCCAATTTCGACGCAGGCGCGCAGTCATTCGGTGTGGTGGCGAGCTTTTTCAATCAATCAGTCAATCAATCGTTCTATCAATGTTCTTTTATTTGCGTCAGAAATGTACATTGTGATTAAGTATGCCGGAGGAGGTACCAAGGAAGTAAACCACAGGCGGGACCTCCTATGTGAATACAAAAAAAAGCCAAAATACAAATAACGGAAGAACAAATCACAAGAACATTTAGAATTTTTATGCAATCAAAGCAAGATATCAAATATTAACAAATTGCAGCATTTACACGTTTATACGGACTTTTTCAATTTTGTCTTAAAATATGAATGCGCATTAGGTCTTCCATACCTTGTGATAAAAAATTCCATAATGTAATTGATGAAAAAACACTGCTCATTTTTTCATATTTATTGTGAACTTTAGATAATAGCAGGTTATGGGTGACCGGGAATCTAGTTTTCTTTGAATTTTTTACTAGAGAATAGGAAATATGTCGATAGTGAGGGTGCAGTAAAAAACTTTGAAAAACAAAACAAACAAATTATAAACGTACATTTGGGAGATGGGTGATACGTCAAGCTTCGCATGTAATACGTCGAAATTCGCATGTGATGGCGTTGAACCCGAAGCGAAAGTTATGAATCGCGTTGCTTGTTTTTGCAATACCTTTAATGGCCAAATGCTCACTGAATATGAATTACCCCATGATGTAATGCAATAACGGAGATGACTGTGTATGAATGCATAATACAATGCCTTCAGAGTTTTGATGTTAAAACACATTTGTGACATGACCAATTTTATGATACCATTTGAAATCTTTTTACAAACAGAATTGAATTGTTGCTGAACTTACCACTCTACCAACCACTCTACTACGCTACCACTCTGCCAACAGTGGTACTCAACGCTAACACAGTGCCATCTATCGTCCGGTGGTTGTCACCCCCGAAAAACGGCTTCTGGGGTGAGACACGTGTGCCACACAGCGCAAACAACTTTACGGGGGGTGTCAGCACCCCCCTATTTCCCCGATCTGAAATCAAACCACATCACGAAAACAAAAAGATAAGCTACACAAGCTTTAACAAAAAATTGACATCACAAGTCCATAATGTCCTTGCACCGCGACACCACCGCTGGTCGACACTGCTGCACTGTCCGGCTCGACTTCACCTCAGTACCAGCCCTGCAATATGAACGTTGCCGTCGGCGCGACGAACCGTCGCTAGCGCCAACACGTCTTCCAGTTGCGATCAGCACTCACGAGGGCGCCGGACTGCAGGCAGCTGCGCAGGTCCCAGGCATCTCCATCGCACGACCTCACGACCGCATTCCTGGCCAGCGACGCTGACGATGTGCAGAAGACAGCCGGCCGTGGATGACATCCCTCCTGCTGAAAACATAAAAAAACTGGAAAGAAACGACGGAGCAGGGCCTAGGCAAGGGAGCTTCAGGCTTTTTGGCCACGTGGTACGATGGTCAGTACTGTTAGCTAATACATCAGCGGCGGCCGAAACGCCCATCAAAATAAAACGAATATCACTTTTCCTAAGTCGTGCATCGCAAAATAAAAAAAAGTGAGGGAAGCAGAACGCAACGCCTCAACGCCGCGATCCACCTAGTTGTGCCACGCTCGACAGGCGGCTGCGCAGCGCCTTAGGCCTAATGAGTCGCTCGGCAACATCCGGCATCCACCCAGCAAACAGCCTAGGCGTAGAAAAGGCCGCCGTGAGGAGATGTCCACTCTGTGAGGTGGCCCTATCACTCGCAGCACACAGCAGCTTACCGAGCGATCGGCGTCCACCGCCCCGGCGTCGAGCCGCTATACAAGACAGCAACGACGACCGGCTCCCTGAGCACTAAGAGATAGAAGAAGCTATTTACAGAAAATCGGACCACCCACGAAACTTCCGTACTCACTCGCTTAGGGCCTGGCCTACAAACCACGTGTTCTAGGCCTTGCTCACCCCAGGATGTGGTCCGCATGGCTCTCGCCCTAATTCAACAACGTCTTTGAAAACTAACAACAGGAAAAAGAACAACACTTGCGAGCAAAAAAAATAAAAATAAAAGCTCAACCTGCCGACAAATTCAAACACGTCACAAAACCAATCTCCTCGCTTCCCAACAGAGCACTCCGCCGACGCTAGCAAAGAAGTGCCCCTAGGCCTACTCCACCCCGGCTGTAAAAAAAGCTTGTACCAAACCGCAAAAAGCTGTCGTCCACTACTCCAAGAGCTCCATGTAGGGGAGCCAAAGTGGAGTCTCGACAAGGTGAGCGCCTCACCATGCTCTTGGAGTGATCGGACACAGTGAACGCGGTCGGTAGAAGCCAACAACATTCATTTATTTAACTAATTTATAACGACGATATCGTCCGCCGAATGATACATCAACTGTAACTAACACGCTAGGATATTGTTACACAATAACACGACAAACACACAACATGAAAGCACACCACAGCGGCTAACCACAGGCGGCCCATGGTGCCGTCCACGGCAAACACACCACGAGAGACAACCGTTCACGGCAGCCGCCGCGCGCAGAAGAGACTCGCTTAACTCTCGCCCGCCACCAAGGCTCGCTTCCGCCAGGGTCACCACCGGCGCCAGTACCACTCTACCAACAGTTATACTCAACGCGAACACAGCGCCATCTTTCGTCCGGTGCTTGTCTCTTCAAAAACGGCTTGTGGGGTGAGACACGCGCGCCACACGGCACAAACAACTTTACAGGGGGTGTGAGCACACCCGCAACCTAGACCTCTAGTTCCGCAACTTTCGTAAAAAGACCACCAGCAGCAATAACACCGGTCACGCAGCTGAGTTGGCGTGAGTTGTGCGCAAATACGAAACTGGTAGGGCCGTCACACGAAAAGAGAGAGAAGATCAAATAGAAATAGACTCAGCACGCAGTTTTTTTTTTGTTGGTACAGTAATGCTTCAGGTGTTTTATTGCGAGAGCAACTATATGGACACTCTCGGCTGCATTTTGCCGCCGGCGTCAACATCGACGTGGGCGTCGTTGTGATGCACCGTTACGTAACAATATGTATGAAAACGCAAGAAAAAAACCAAGAACAAAAATACTCTGGTGCGTGGAATCGAACGTGCAACCTCTTTGCCGTGAAAGCGAGGCGTTAACCACTCGTCCATTGCGGAGCATTAATTCACTGTTAAACTCAAACTACCTATATCTACCACTTACCGCTGCTCAGGAGCATTTCGGAGGGAATTGTGTTTTCAGCATTACCAGGAAGATGGCGCAATAAGCGCGCGTCACCACATCGCGTGGCGGCGCCGGCTCTAATCTCTTACGGGTACTTTGCCTGGCTTAGAGAAGGGAAGTGACTCTCCCTCACGCGCCCTTATCTCGTTGTGGCGAAGAGGAGAAGGTCGTACGCCTTGGCTGGCCTCGGGCTTTACCTAAAACGCTTCTGCTGTAGTAACCGGGTGCAGCAAAGGTCACTGCTATCATTACAGTCTCCGTTTGCGAAAACGCGCACTTTTTCAGACACAGCAAAGTAACAAATGAGACGCTTATTCGAGTGCATCCATACATGTGAGTACGTTTTGTGCGTCATCCGTGCGTGAGGAATGTGGGGCATGTTTCGATGTGCTTTCCATTCTGCGCGTGACGTTTCAATTTGTTGCTATCGCGTTCATTTCTTCGCATTTCCGGCAAAGCTGTGATTTTTCAACAGGGGGGGGGGGGGGAAATAGACCCTGCTGCTACCTGGTCGAAAACAGTCGGCATCTTTCTGTTGTAAGCCTTCAGCGGTTTGGATATCTGCTCCTGATTTGCTTTTCTCAGTGATGTCAAAACTAAAAAAAAAACTAAAGAGAGTGTTCGTCAGCCGTTGACATTTCACTCACCATGATAGAGACTAAAAAGAGAAACCATGTTCCTACGAAAGTTGAAAAAGAAAGGACCAAATTGCATGGCTGTGTTGAGCTGTTAGCATTTTCGCACCATTAAAAACAATAACATGCTTTCCTATCGCAGATGAAGGTCGTGCACACGTTGGTATCAAAATATTTTGTGTATACGTAAAATTTTATTTTGCATGCATTTTTTTCTAGGTCTAAAAATTGTTCTGCCTGCGCATTTTG